AGTTAACATTTTGGAGGTTATCAAACATTTTGGAATATAAATCCGTTTGCTATTAGAATAGTTACGTTTAGTTTAAATAAGAAATTTTGATTCTAAGAATGAATTAAGAATTCCTTTTTAGGAAACATGATGATTTGAATAAAAAGCAAGGAAGAATTTATAAGGAAATATTTATTGTATGGTGACTAGTGCAAAAAGGACTATGCGGAGCAGAAGACTACCGTTCTGCACTCCGGCGCGTTTACGAATTGATTAAAATGATTTAAGTCGACAAATAGCAGCAGCCTTATGAAATCATTGGACTATCTACTATCACCGACTCGCTGGAGCCATTATACAATCTACGAACAACCTTGGTTGTGCCCAGTAATTCATTTCATTCGTCACCAGAAACTATCGCCACAGCATATTAAAGTGATTTACATCCCGATATCTCTAATTCCAAATCGATATTGACGCACACCTTAAATTTGAAAATTAAATTTATTACACATTCTCAAAAATACTTTGATGTTGTGACAAAAAATCTAAATACGATCAACCCCCAAGAATATTACTAGGACAAGGATTAGAAAGCGAAATTATTTTTTACAACTCAAACTTGACTTTACAAAGTACAAGAAGAGTCCTGAAACAACTTGGCGAATCCAGTCTTTAAAGGGTCTGAGGGGGGGGAGCTCTTAAGACTTCAAAGTACCCGGCAAGTGGTCCCTTCCAAGTCCGGTAGTTCGACGACCCACGCTCTCAAGGTTGACTCTCCTCATGACTGCGTTTCCCAGACAAAATTCATAGCCGGAAAAAAAATAACCAGGGAATCTTGAATTCCCAATTTCAAATCTAATTCCAATCTGTAATACTATTTCAAATCAGTAATAACACTATGTCTTATCTAACAAATCCAATAGAACATTGAACAAAGACATTTTATTACCGGTATTAAATTTGTGAAAATAAATTCTCCGGAGCTTAATTTATGAGAGACATTGAACTGAATCATGAGGATCGTTTTAGTGGCGAAGAGAAGAAAAAAAAATCGGTAGTGGGTCTTTGGATCATGTATATATACATATATATATAAAATATATAACAGTGCACAAAGGAACCAGTATACATAACAATAAGTTAAAACTCGTCGAAGCGTGAAAATTCTTAAATCGAGAACCATATAGTGTAATATCCAAGATATTTATTAAGCTGTCGTGAATGCGAGAGAAATAAATAAATATATATATGTGGATATACATACTGTATATACAATGGTTGAACATACCAGACTACAAGTAAACTGTCGCGTCTTGTGTGTATGTGTCGTTTGATATTCCCTGCGAGACGATTATCGTTTGGAACATTGTCTCCAGATTACGCGATAGTAGTTTATAGTCGTTAGTGGCACTTAATGTTTCCACTTTACAAACCATGCGGAAATATACATTAGGGAGGATGATTTTTATTTGTTGGAATCTGGTTTTTCCGATTGTATATTTTAAAGTTGAGTGAGGAAAGGGGAAAAAATAAATTAATTCAGAGAGACGAGTGTAGGAGAAGCGGATGTAGCGGAATTGTATTAATGGGGAAAAGAAAACGGATTTCAGTTCCAAAAGGTTTGTCAAACTTGAAGGATCAACTTCCTCAAAAGACAAACGGATTTTAGTAACAGACGGTTGGCTAAAGTATACGGATCAACCTTAGGAAAACCGAAACGGATTTTAGTACTAAAGGATTTACTAAATAATAAGGTACAACATCCTCAAGAGCTAAACAGAAGATGTGCCGAACTGGAAGGAACAACTTCCTCCAGGCCGAGGGATTTATTAGCTAAAATTCTTGTTTAAACTGGACGTAACAATTTTTCCATACGCCAAATGGATTTAAAGTTAAAAATGTTTGCTAAAGTGGAAGGAATAATTTTCAAGAAAGCGAATCGGATTCAAGTTAGCAAAAGTTTGTCAAAGTGGAAGGAGCAACTTCCTCAAAATTTAAACGGAAGTCAGTAACCGACGGTTTGCCAAAGTGGACGGAACAACTTTTGGAAAGTTCCAAAAGGTGTGCTGAACCGGAAGGAACGACTTCCTTAGAAGCTAAACAGATTTTAGTTTCAAAAGCTTTGTTAAAGTGGAAAGAGCAACATGCAGAAAGTATAGAACTTTATTGTCTAAAAATTCTTGTTTAAACTGGACGTAACAAATTTCTTAGATGCCTAACGGATTCTCATTTCGAAACTGCTGAACATTAAGTTCAAATTCTTCCAAACACTGAAAGAATATAAACGAACGTCTAACAATTCCCCAAAAACTAAACCCAACGAAAGATTTCACATTTCCGAAAAGAATCCGTATCCTGAATTCGGTCCCAACTCCCAGACAAGAAACAACTGGAATTTTCGAAATCATCTAATTGAAACAAAACCCAAAGTTGACGACCTTCATCAATAATTATTAATAAAATTTCCCAACAGAAACCGCAAGATAATTATAATCTAAAAGGCTTGTTTAAACTGCACGTAACAATTTCTTTAAAAAGAAAACAAATTTTAATATATTTTAATGTTTTAAAATGTTTTCACGACTATCTCCTTTTTCTATCACACAACAACTTCAATTTATCTTAGAAAATTATTTCCTCCGGAATATTAATTTTCTCCTTTTCATTTGTTTTTTTTAATTTCTATTTCTTAATAAGAAGCAAAATTCCAAACAGGAGGAAAAAAGTCTGTGACATTTTGAAAAAGGCATAAATTTAATTGAAAATTTCCCTATAAATTAACCCATCGTCCTTATTATAAATCGTCTTTCTTGATATCATAAATTCCTGTTGTATTTTTCTTGTCCAATGTACTGGGAGAGACCTTAAAAAGTAAATTAATCGAGAGCTACTGCGCAGTAGCGATTTGGCACAGCAGGCGGTACTTGCTTGATTACACGTCTTTGATTTGTATGATATGATGTATGAAACCAATCTCATTTGGATCGAAAAATTTTACATCTGACCTTGTGGGTGAATTTTTCTTTCTTCAAAATTCGAAAAATTTTCCAAAGTACAGAGAAAACTACTACAATAATAGAAGTTATTAATAAAAGTAAATTAATAATTTTTTCTTCATAAAATTATTACTTAGACAATATTTAATGAATTATTTTACTTTAATATTTCTAAATTAATTGGATTTTGAAAGATTTGCGATTACAATATTCAGATAGATTCTTGGTAAAATTTCAATTATTTTTAAAAATTTTAATAAAATTCTTGGTAAAAGTTCAATTATTTTCAAAAAATTTCCACAGTTTAATGATTTTCAATATCGAGTGGTTTAATAAAATTTTTCAAAAGAATTCAATTATTTAAAAAAAATTGTTAATAAAATTCTACCCAAATATTTAGTTATTTTCATAAATAATAAAAATTTGCCAAAAATTCAATTATTTACAAATTTTTTCTATATTTCTTTGCAATAATTCAATTATTTTTAAAAAGTAATAACATTTTTTATAGGGGTTGAATTATTTTCATAATAAAAATTTACTTTAGAAATTTAATTATTTTTTAAAATTTTAATAAAATTCTTTACATAAATTCAATTATTTTAAAAAGTAATAAAATTCTTCACAAAATTATCGTATTTGTTAATAATTTTAATTAAATATTTGATTATTGAAGTTTATTTAAATTGTATTGAAAATAATTGCCTTCCTGAGAAGATTTATATTGTTTATACAAATATTTTAATTCTTAAAATGAATTTTACTGCTTATAAAATTAATTAAATTGATTCGAAGGATTTATGAAAATTTTAGAAAATAATTAAATTTTTTTATAAAAATATTATTAAATTTTTTTTTTAAATTTAATTCTTTAATGAAATTTTATCAAAAATTGTATTAAAAATAATCAAATTTTTACAAAAAATTACTATTCATAAAAGTAATTAAATTGTTTCAAAGAAATTATTTAAATTTTAGAAAGTAATTTAATTTTTTCGAAAAGTATTATTAAAATTTTTTTAAAAATTGAATCCTTGCATGAAATTTTATTCAAAATAATTTAAATTTTGCAAAGATTTTACAATTTAAAAAATAATTGAATTATTTTGAAGAATTTATTAAAATTTTGAAAAATAATTGAATTCTTTCATAAAATTTTTATTAAAATTTTGTTTAAAATAATTGAATTTTCACAAGAAATTTTACTATTTATAAAAATAATTAAATTGTTGCAAAGAATTATATTTATAATTTTTAAAATTATAAACAATAATAATTAATTATTTACTTAATAAATGAATTTTTAAAATTTTTAATTCTAAAATTATTAAAAAATTTATATTTGAAAATTTATAATTTTGTAATCTATTTTTTATAAATAAACAGGAGAAAAATTTGCATAATTCAGATCAGTCAAACGAAATTTGTTTTAAAAAAAGCATATAAATAACAAATGGGTATATTTTTTATTTGTTGATAATAATTTTTTTTAAATTTTTTAATTTATAATATTATTTTATTATAAATCATCAAAAAATACTTGCATATTTTTAATTTGTCAAAAACATTTTTTTTTAATAAAAAAAGACAAAAGCATACACATAAACTAACTTCAAACTGCGGATAGAATGAATGAATGAAAGACAGAATTATCAAATTATTTATTATATTTTAAAACACTGTTTACATTTTTAATTAAATTTACATAAATCACAAATATTTTTTGAATTTTTAAAAAAAATTTATTGAACATAAAGTTCAGTTTTAAGACAAAAATAGTATTCTATAAGAAACTTGAAAGCATAGTAAAGATTTAAATTTATATTTGATTATAATTAACAATAATTAATCATTAAAATTATAAAAAATAATAAACTATTATTAATAATTATAAAAATTATAATTAATAATAATTAATTATAATTAAATTATAATTAATGATAATTCATTATAATTAAATTGTAATTAATAGTTATTAATTAAAATTATATTATAATTAATAATAATTCATTATAATTCATTATAATTGAATTATATTTAGACTAAATTTAGAAAAAAATTGAAATGAAGATTTACATACGGAAGAGAATATTTTGAAAAATCGCGAGTAGTCTGTCGCTAAGACCAAATGATAACGTTGACATTATCTGGCGTATTATGTTGAAAATATATTCAGTAATTTCCAAAATTCGAACAACGAATGTGTTTCCTGATTTTCTACTTTCCTCTTTAACAACATTGATTGCTGATTGCAGATTAGTGAAATTGGCAGTTCTTAAGAAATTCATAATCATATTGCGTGTACTGGATGGTACATCAGTCCATACTTTTGTAACTGAGTTGGTTAATTCAGTGTTGTTAATTTCTTGATTTCGCTTCTTTCTAGTGGCGTAGTCATTGACAATTCTGTAAAATTCTTGCATTGTACTCTCTGATACTACGGATGGTGTTGTTTGATAATAAACTTGTGAATAATGATGTCTTAACGTTGGCGCGTGAACAGGTGTTAAACCATTTCCATAAGATGAACTAGACTGGGATCCTGTATATTGACCTAAAATTTAAAAAAAAATTGTAAAAAATTATATTCCGTCATTTTTTTTTGCGAATTTTGAGTTATATTTTGATGATTTTTCTTTAATTTTGTATTTTAATTGCTAAACTATGTGCCTCTATCATTTTTCTTAAATTTACTGAATAATTTTCAGTCAGATTTCTGCTTTACCGACATTTGAATTGTTTTCTACCTTTTTTCTCGCAAATTATATGTAAGGTTATTAAAATTGTTTTCGAATTTTGCTTCCTGATGCCTAAAGTGTGTGTCTCTACTATTCTTTTCTAATTTTACTCAATAATTTTCAGTTAGATTTCTATATTACCGACATTTTTTTCACTCTGCCCCTTTTCTCGTAGATTATAAGTAATTTAATGAGAATTGTTTTCCAATTTTGCTTCTTAATGCCAAAACTGTTTGCCTCTATTATTTAACAAAGCTATTAATTAATTTTCTGTTATAATTATAGATACAATAGAAATATGCAATAAATTTTGAAATATTTTTATCTACAATTCTGAAAAGAAGGAAACAGGAAGCATCTGTTCATATTTAGGTATGAATTAGTTAAAAAATTATATTAAGTTACCTTGTTGGTACAATTGTTGATATGGGCCTTGCATTGCCACGCCTCCAGCATAGGCGGGTTGTTGTTGCTGACCTACAACATTCGGTTGTTGCCCATATCCATAATAAGGGTTAAAAGTCTGTTGACCAGGAAAACCTGATTGTTGTCTATAAGGATTGAAAGACTGTTGACCGATAAAACGTAGTTGTGGGGCAGATCCGAACCCTTGTTGCACTGGATGTTGACCTACGAAACCTGGTTGTTGGACAGTTCCATAACCTTGTTGTACTGGTTGTTGACCTACGTAACCTGGTTGTTGGACAGTTCCATATCCTTGTTGTCCTGGCTGTTGACCTACGTAACCTGGTTGTTGGACAGTTCCGAATCCTTGTTGTCCTTGCTGTTGACCTACGAAACCTGGTTGTTGGACCGTTCCATATCCTTGTTGTCCTGGCTGTTGACCTACGTAACCTGGTTGTTGGACAGTTCCATATCCTTGTTGTCCTGGCTGTTGACCTCCTAAACCTGGTTGTTGGACAGTTTCGAATCCTTGTTGTCCTAGCTGTTGACCTACAAAACCTGGTTGTTGGACAGTTCCGAATCCTTGTTGTCCTGGCTGTTGACCTAAGTAACCTGGTTGTTGGACAGTTCCATATCCTTGTTGTACTGGTTGTTGACCTACGTAACCTGGTTGTTGGACAGTTCCATATCCTTGTTGTCCTAGCTGTTGACCTCCTAAACCTGGTTGTTGGACAGTTTCGAAACCTTGTTGTCCTAGCTGTTGACCTACGTAACCTGGTTGTTGGACAGTTCCGAATCCTTGTTGTCCTGGCTGTTGACCTACGTAACCTGGTTGTTGGACAGTTCCATATCCTTGTTGTCCTAGCTGTTGACCAACGTAACCTGGTTGTTGAACAGTTCCATATCCTTGTTCTCCTGGCTGTTGACCTGCTAAACCTGGTTGTTGGGCAGTTTCGAATCCTTGTTGCACTGGCTGTTGAACTGAAAAACCTGGTTGTTGGACAGTTCCGACTCTTTGTTGCACTGGCTGTTGACCTACTGAACCTGGTTGTTGGACAGTTCCGACTCTTTGTTGCACTGGCTGTTGACCTACTGAACCTGGTTGTTGGACAGTTCCGACTCCTTGTTGCACTGGCTGTTGACCTACTGAACCTGGTTGTTGGACAGTTCCGACTCCTTGTTGCACTAGCTGTTGACCTACTGAACCTGGTTGTTGGACAGTTCCATATCCTTGTTGCACTGGCTGTTGACCTACTAAACTTGGTTGTTGGACAGTTCCGACTACTTGTTGCACTGGCTGTTGACCTACTGAACCTGGTTGTTGGACAGTTCCGACTCCTTGTTGCACTGGCTGTTGACCTACTAAACTTGGTTGTTGGACAGTTCCGACTCCTTGTTGCACTGGCTGTTGACCTACTAAACCTGGTTGTTGGACAGTTCCGACTCCTTGTTGCACTGGCTGTTGACCTACTAAACCTTGTTGTTGGCCAGTTCCGACTGCTTGTTGCACTGGCTGTTGAACTCCAGCTTGAAATTGATTACTTCCAGCTGATTGGTTTCCAGGAAAACCACCGCCTGGTTGTACTGCATTTTGTGCGAATGCAATTGAGAAAATAATCCCCCCTAGTCCAAATATCAAAAGAAATAATCGCATTTTTGAAATAATTAGTAGGAACTTTTTATTTTGAAAAACAAACGTACTTCTTAAAAGAACAACTCTAAACTGTCTTGAAATAATTGAAAAAATTCCAATATATTTATATCATGAGAGTAGATGATAAATTTTATTGATACAGGTGAATTTTTTATTTTTTGAAATAGTTTAATACGCAATATACTGTTCAAATAAAAAAAAAGAATTATTATCAATTATTCTTTTCAAAATTTTTGCCTATATATATACATATTATTTGTGAAATTTTTATTTGATCTTACATTTACATAGAAATACACGTGTATGTTTGATTAGAAAAAAATATTTTATTTTTTTCTTTCTGCTCTTGATTAGAAATTTTTTCGAACTGGAAAATTTAAACAATTTGCAGTCTCATTAACATTCAATGAAGGAAATTATTAAATAAAATAATGACAATTATAATAATGAAAATATGCAATTTTAAAAATATTTTGGAATAATTTTTATAATTTAATAATAAATTTTAACTATTTATATCAAGTTTGTGTTTGATTTCTACATTATTGACATTTTTGATATTCTGTCACTTTTCTCGGAAATTTTGTTTGAAGTTTAGAAATTTATTTTCCTATTCTACTTCCTACTGCCTGAACTGCGTGCCCCGTCTGTTCTTTTTTCTAATTTTACGAAATATTTTTTAGTTAGATTCCTTTATTACCTACATTTTCTTATATTCCGTCATTTTTCTTGCAAATTCTGAGTTATATTTCGATGATTTTCCTTTCATTCTGCATTTTAATGGCTAAACTATGTTCGCCTATTATTATTTTTTAAATCTACTGAACAATTTTCAGTCATATTTCTGCTTTACCGACATTTTCAATTGTTTTCTACCTTTTTTATCGAAAATTAAATATAAGGTTATTAAAATTGTTGTTCCAATTTTGCTTCCTAATGTCTAATCTGTGTGCCTTTACTATTTTTATATAATTTTACTAAATAATTTTCAGTTAGATTTCTATATTACCGACATTTTTTACAATCTGCGTTTTTTCTCGTAGATTATAAGTAAGTTTATAAAAATTGTTATTCCAATTTTGCTTCCTAATGTCTAATCTGTGTGCCTTCACTATTTTTATCTAATTTTACTGAATAATTTACAGTTAGATTTCTATATTACCGACATCTTTTATAATCTGCGTTTTTTCTCGTAGATTATAAGTAAGTTTATGAAAATTGTTATTTCAATTTTGCTTCTTAATGTCTAATCTGTGTGCCTCTACTATTCTTTTCTAAATTTACTAAATAATTTTCAGTTATAATTATTAAAATAATTTTCAAACTTTTTTAAATAATTTTTATTTACAATTCTAAAAAGATGGGAACTAGGTTAGAAAGTGAGAAACTTGAAGTACATGAAACAAATTTGAAAAATTTTATAAGAAAACTGTTCTATATATACATATATATAAAATGTTTGTTTTTTTGAAACTTTTCTGAATATTTGAAGTATAATTTTTAGTTTTTTAAATATAAATAATAAATATATTAATAAATATAATATATTATAAAAAAATATCTATTATTCTTTAAAAAAATGTCATTTTTTAAAATTAACAATTTAAATCATAAAAAAGCGATAAATAATTGCTGACACCTATGTTAATAAATAAAATATTTATTTACACTGCAAATAAACCAATTTGCCTATATTTACGATAACGGATAATAATTTTACGAATATCTTACAAAACAAACAAGAATATTGACATTAAATTAAAATAATTTTGTTCTCTAAAAAATAAGTCTATATCTAGATATATCCGTTTAAACAGAATCAATAAATTGTAAGGTGAAATAATATGCGTTTCAAATTCAGTAAAAAAGAAATAATAAATTTATATAAAAAAATGTATGATGAATAATTATAAAAATGTACATATTTAAAGAGCGAGAAGAAAAATGTTTATTACTACTCCATGTTATGTCGATTTCATAGAAAAATGTTTCAAAAATTGTATATTAAATCATTAAAAATTTTGAAATTAAAAAAAATCCCAAATAATGGTAAAATATTATGGCAAAATTATTGGCACTCGATAATTAATTTTAAAAAAGTAGCAAAAAGTATCTTTTAAACAAAAAAGCAGTAAAAAAGTAGCTATTGAAAAATTAAAATTGACAACCAAAATAACTCGTTTAAGACACTTTACAAAACTGACAAAAATTCCATTCTATATTTTATTTTCCTGACTTTTTCCTAATTATCATCAAAAATATTTACTTCTTTCTTATATTGCTAATAAATTGAATTTCTGCAATGAATTTTATTATTCATGAAAGAATTTAATTATTTGTAAAAATTATTTAATTCTAGCAAAGAATTCTGTAAATTTTTTTGAATAATTCATTTCTTTCCTCTAATTTTATGCAAATTCTAATTTAAATAATTCAATTCCTAAGAATTGTTTATAGTTTATGAACAGAATTAAATTCTTATAAAGATTTTTATAAAAATTTGTTTAAATAATTGAATCCTGTTTGGAAATTTCATCAAAATAGTAAATATTGAAAATCATTGTATTGCGAAATTTTTTTTAAAAGTAATTAAATTTTACAAAGAATTCTATTGAAATTTTTGAGAATAATTAATTGAATTATGTCTGTGTGGCATTTTATTAAATTTTTTTTAAAATAATTTAATTCCTAAAAAGCATTTTATTATTTATGAAAATAATTGAATTCTTGCGAATTAACGCGATATTAACATTGTTTTGCCTAAATATTGTCGTGATATTGCCCTAATGTTGCAGTGATATTAAATTTATTTCTAATTTTACTAAATATTTTCTAGTTAGATTTCTACATTACCGACATTTTTTATATTAAGTCATTTTTCTTGCAAATTATGAGTGAAATTTTGAAGATTTCTTTCCTAATCTGCTTCCTTCTGCCTGTACTACGTTTCCCTACTGTTTTTTCAAATTTCATGAAATATATGTTAGTCAAATTCCTCTATCATCGAAATTTTTTTACATTCCGTCACTATTTTTGGAAATTGTAAGTAATAGTTTGACTTCCCTTTTATTCTGTATTCTAATAGCTAAACTATGTACCCCTAATATTTTTTTTAAAATTTATTAAATAATTTTCAGGCAGATTTTTGCTTTACCGACACTTACAATTTTTTTCAAAAAAATTTTGCCAAATTTTGTCCAAAATAAAGATAGTATAGAGACAATATTTATAGAGTATGTATATTAATATATTTTGCCCTAAATATTGCCAGAGAAATCCTTTGAAAAACTGACACATTTTTTCCTTTTTGTCAATATTAAAGAAATAAATCTCCTAATAATTTTTTTCAATATAGCAGATTGGGAGGAGAAGTGAGAATTAAGAATAAAAATGAGTATAAAATAGAAAGAATGCGAAACTGAGAATATGTATAGAAATAGTTAAAAGATGAAATGGAATAAAAGCTGCAAATCCGGACTTGCAAGTGTATATTGCAAGCAATAAAAACAGCAAGTTTACTCCGTCTGAATGCAACTTACCAGTTTTGTATGAGCGCTTGAAGGTGAGTTTAACGAGGAACCCGTTTCGAGTAATTTTCATCTCTCGACACAACGACCACTCGTAGAAATCAATCGATAATAATCAACATCAATATCACTCGTAAATGTTCCTGTCCTTTTTAAAATACATAAACCCTAATTATTCTTATTCAATCAAAGAATTGTGATTTTCAATATAAATATTTGCGCTTAACTTCTCACTAATTAGAAGTACATTTCTTTGAGGATCATATTCGTATCTTGTTGTATCGTGTTCAAATTAAATGCCTCTGGTATTTTTTTGTCTATTTTTATGAATTGTTTCGTTAGATTTCTGCATTATCGACATTCTTTGATATTCTGTCACTTTTCTTGTAAATTATGATTGAAGTTTATAAAATTGTTTTCCTATTCTGTTTCCTACTGCTTAAACTGTATGTCTCTACTGTTTTATCTAATTTTACTAAATATTTTTCAGTTAAATTTCTACATTACCGACATTTTTTATATTATGTCATTTTTCTTGCAAATTATGAGTGAAGTTTTAAAGATATATTTCCTAATCTGCTTCCTACTGTCTGCACTGCGTGCCCCTACTGTTCTTTTTCTAAGTTTTCGAAATATTTTTTAGTCAGTTTCCTTTATTATTGACATTTTCTTACATTCCGTCACTATTTTTGAAAATTGTAAATTATATTTTAATGATTTTCCTTTTATTCTGTATTTTAATGGCTTAACTACGTGCCCCTATCATTTTTTTATTTATTAAATAATTTTCAGTCAGAATTCTCCTTTACCGACACTTTAAATTTTTTTCTACCTTTTTTCTCGCAAATTATATGTAAAAGTTATAAAAAATGTTTTCCACTTTTGCTTCCTAATGCCTAATCTGTGTGCCTCAACTATTCTTTTATAAATTTACTAAATAAGTTTCAGTTAGATTTCTACATTATCCACATTTTTTAAAATCTGCCTTCTTTTCCAAAATTATAATTAAACTTATAAAAATTGCTTTTTAATTTTGCTTCGTAATACCAAAACTATGTTCCTTTGTTACCTATATTATCAATAACATTATTGTAAGTAATGCAGAAATTCAACTAAAAATATTATAAGTTAAATAAAATTTTAAAAAATTCCAGAGGGACATAGATTGGATATTAGCAAGTATAATTCGAAAATAATAATCAAAACTTCACTCATAATTTGCGAGTAAGAAAGCAGAATATCAAAAGAGTCAGTAATGCAGAAATCTGTCTAAAAATTATTTTCCTAAAATTAAAGAGAAATACCAGAGGCACACAGTTTAGTCATTAGGGAGTAGAATTAAATGGAAGTTTTGTAAATTTCTCTTACAGTTTGCGATGAAAATGATATAATATAAAAAAGACGGTAATGCAGAAATCTAACTGACAGAAGAATAGTACAGGCATAGAGTTTTGGAGATTTTTCTTATATTTACTGAATAATTTACAGTCAGATTTCTCCTTTACCAACATTTTCAATTTTCTTTTTTTTCTGCTAT